TTTCAGTGGCCATATCACAGATTTGTTATAGTCAAATTTTAAAAGCTTGCACGTTCTGATACAGGGAAAGGACTCAGGTGGTTACTGATTGCATGCCCACTGTACTGAAGTCATTAAAAAAGGAAAATGATTTTCTAGCTGCTGGACCTATGACATTGCTGAGTGAGCTAGCCTTCACATCCACGAGCTTCTTCCCCTCTCCTAGTAGCTAAGTTATACACTTAACCAGTACCTTGGTTTGGAGATTTGACTGATGGTACTGTTGTTTGAAGCAGGGGCCATCTGATACTTTTCAAAAGAAGTGGGTTTAAGGTTGCCTTTGTGCACATTTCTAATTGCCTTGCATGTTGGCTGCTTCATATAATTACCAGAAAACCTTTGTTCCTTAAACCTTGTGTTTAGAAATGCAGCTTTTCAGATGAGGAAGTCTGACAGGTCAGTAGGAGGAGCTGAAAAGCATGCATCCTGTAGGAAAGAGGTGCCTATGGATGGGTCATTGTGGGCATTTTCTTCTGCAGGTTCCAACAGATACATGAGAATTACGCTTGCTATTATTATTGTTCTCTGCAAACTGCAGTTCAACTTTTGTTAGCCCTTATAATATTTAACAGGTGCTTTTCCATCTTGATTGTTGAACAGCCGCAAGGGGTCCATGAATATGCAATTCTCCAACATCTGAGAATAGGCAGTTCTCCAACATCTGTGGGTTCGTTGCTTGAAGAAGGAACAGGAATCACTCTCTCATAATTACTGGTGATTCTCTTCACATTACTCTTTGCTGAAATCTTCTGAGAACACCAGCTGAAGGGTGTGAACAACATACTGTGTGATTTGGGTTCCTAACACTCAGCTTTTCTATTATCAGTGACAGTTGAATAACAAGTTCTATTGTACAAGCAAATTTGCTGGTCAGTTGTGGGCTACCCATAAGTCTCTTGGTAAGCAAGCAAAGCAGAAACTTACCAAAATTTTGGGTGGTTTTCTATGTTGTTCAAAAAATAGAAATAAATTGTATAATATTTTAAGCTTTTGGTACATAGTGGAATTAAATTTAGGAAAGTGTTTTTGGGAACCATGTTTCTAGAAGGGCTATTAAGTGTGGGACTCATAGTTGGGGCAGGTTTCTTTCTTTTCCTTTTTGTGGACTCAGAACTCTAAGGCATTATCCCAAAGCATTCTTATAAAAGCCTCGTTTTGACAATTGGTTTTTGAGAGTATACCTTATTGTCATTCTGTTTATGTTCTTTTTAACGTGGATTGAATATGACTTGTCATAAATGTATATTTTAATAGAGATTTTTTTCCTGTAAGAATTTTTGGGCATAAAGATGACAGTGATGCTTTTAATTCATCCTCAGAAGACATGACAAGTTTCCAAGTAGGACTTTATAAAGACTCAGGAGCTACATTTGAATTATGTAACTAAAAATTAAATTTAGTTCTTTAAGATATCTTATCTTATTTGATGTTAAAAGCTACAAAGATTTTAGTAAACATTTGTTGGTCCAAAAAAAAAAATGGTTCCTAAAACTGTATAAGATGCATACTTTTTCATTTTAACGGTCAGTTTTTGTATTTAATGATTTTGAAGTTCTTAAGTATTCTTTTCAAAAGATTAATAGCTTTTACAATCTTAATTACTTGCCATGGAATTTTCATCCTAGTAAAATTACATTTTTTAAATGGAAATTCAATCTGAAAGGTACATAAGGAAATATTTGCTCAGATTTTATCTGCTTTATTTTTATTTGAAAATGAAAATTCAGCTATTGATGATTAATAGCTAGATTGAACAATTCATGGTTGATTGAATGCATGTGACATTCAACTTCATGATGTTTTGGTGATCTGGCAAGGTGATAACTTGCATGATTCACTGTAATTGATCACACACAGTTCAGGGTTGCAAGAAATTTCATAAAAGTCATTGCATTACAGTTCAGGGTTGTAAGAAATTTCGTTAAAGTAGGTGTCTGGCTCCCCAGTCTTGCAAAGGTTGCACTGAAACAGCAGATTTTGCCAAATACTGCAGGTGAAGGCAAATCTGAGTGTATTCCTACCATTTCACCTCTAAGGAGGCCAAAGGGAATATTTAAAACTAAATTCTTTTTTAATGGCCTGATAAGTATGGTTGTGTTTTGGTTTTAGATGTTTGAAGCAGGTTAAATATTGAAGGTTCCAGACATAGGGAATAGAGACAAAGTGCTGGGATAGCGGGAGGGTGGCCATGAACAGATTCAGCCAGTTTCATCTTCATTATTTGGTAGAAAGTACTTCCCAGATATATCTCATAATAGCATGATAGTCGAGTAGTGTCTTAAAATTTCAAGGCCTGAGTTTGTTTCAGCTAATCATTCTGTTTCAAAGCAGTCAAATACATTGTTTTGCAAGTGTTCTGGTTTCAATTTCATGGCTGTCACCTTAGCTACAATGTGACGCTTGGAAATACTGAGTAATAAGTACTAAAACTGCAGTGAGACTTATCACTGAGTACCAAGTAGTGCATAGCTTGGCGCTGGGTTGGGGGAGTGGCCTGGGTCATAGCAGTGGGCCAGCTGGAGCCTTGGGGCCCAGTGATCTGTGTGAGCCACATTTAAAGGGACCTGTTCCTAATTGGTGATGTCATCGTTCTAGAAAGTTTAAATACAGAAATGGCAGGAGATGCTTCTTCATTCTTCGGTCTATACAAGTAACAGCCTAGGAGTGCAAGTCAATGCAGCAGTGATCCCCAGGGATTTTTGGTGTGTAAAGTATTTCAATACATTATTGGGCTGTTTTGTTTTAGACGTGAAAGATATCATTAAAAAGATTACAATTAAATATCAAACATTTTGATAGTTCTTCAACTGTGTGATCTGCATTTCTTTAATTTGTTATATCTTTTTTTCTTTAAGATTTATTTGAGAGAGAGAGAATGTGGGGAGGGGTGGAGGGAGAGGGAGAATCTCAAGCAGACTTCCCTCTGAGCGCAGAGCCCAACTTGGGGCTTGATCCCAGGACCCTGAGATCATGACCTGAGCCGAAATCACGAGTCAGATGGTTAACTGACTTTTTTTCTAATAGCCTCTGTACCATTGTTAGCATACATGGTGAAGAGCAGAGGAGTCTCCATTTTCTCATCTGTTCTTGAACATTCATCATTGCAATTTTATGGTAATGTCGTATATATATCTCTTCAAGCCACCCGGCTCTCCTGTTTCTGCCTGGTTTATGATATAGTTAGACATCCTGCAGTCTTGGCCGACTGTACGAAGAGGATCGTGGATGTGAGGAAGTAGAGCAAAATTGGGTGTCTAGTTAGTATATGATCTGTAAAAGCAGAAAGTTGTTAAGAGAGCACTTTAATATATATAATCCGTGGATGCTTTATTTTCTTTTTGGTCAGGTATCCTGAAGAACTTGCCTGGCACACAAATTTAAGTCGAAAAATCTTGAGAAAGTCTCCACAGTTGGAAAAGTTTCACCAGTTTCTGGTTAGCGAAACCGAATCTGTGAGTAGATTTCTTTAGATTTGTTGGTTCCCTTGAAGCTTGAAATGTGCATGAGTATCTTGGTTATATTTTGTCCACACGTGTCACCGGGAGCGACGAGGTAGATACGGCGTATGGAAAAGTGTGCTTGTCATCTTTAATTTCTGAAGACTCCTAAAGCTGCTCTCGTCTTTTTTTTAAAAAATTTTTTATTGTTATGTTAATCACCATACGTTACCTCATTAGTTTTTGATGTAGTGTTCCATGATTCATTGTTTGTGCATAACACCCAGTGCTCCATGCAGAACGTGCTCTCCCCAATACCCATCACCAGGCTAACCCATCCTCCCACCCCCTCCCCTCTAGAACCTTCAGTTTGTTTCTCACAGTCCATAGTCTCTCATGGTTCGTCTCCCCCTCCGATTATCCCCCCTTCTTTCTTCCCCTCCTGCTGTCGTCGTCTTCTTTTTTAAAACGTGTAATGTATTATTTGTTTCAGAGATACAGGTCTGTGATTCAACAGTCTTGCATAATTCACAGTGCTCACCATAGCACATACCCTCCCCAGTGTCTGTCACCCAGCCACCCCATCCCTCCCACCCCCCCACTCCAGCAACCCTCAGTTTGTTTCCTGGGATTAAGAATTCCTCATATCAGTGAGGTCATATGATACATGTCTTTCTCTGATTGACTTATTTTGCTCAGCATAATACCCTCCAGTTCCATCCACATCGTTGCAAATGGCAAGCTCTCATTCCTTTTGATGACTGCATAATATTCCATTGTATATATAGACCACGTCTTCTTTATCCATTTATCTGTCTATGGACATCTTGGCTCTTTCCACAGTTTGGCTATTGTGGACATTGTTGCTATAAACATCGGGGTGCACGTACCCCTTCAGATCCCTACATTTGTATCTTTGGGGTAAATACCCAGTAGTGCAATTGTACAGCTGCTCTCTTCTTTGGCCCGTCAAGTTGTGGAACTCGGGGAGGGTCTCAGCCACAGTTGTCCCCCTGATGTATCGTTTCCTTGCTCCTCCTGGGTCTGGCCAGCCATGGCGCTGGGCCAAGCAGCGCACTGCGCAGGGAGGCATCGCTCGGGAGAGGGGCCACTCCATCTGCTCCCACTTTGTTGTGTCTGTTCTTTCCGGGCTCCTGTCTCTGCTCTACCTTTGCCACAAAAAACCAACAAAATTTGACTTTGACAACTTTGATTCTCCCACGACACCTTGTTTTCACCTTCTTTGCAATCCTGAATTCTTTGGTTTGGTTCGGTCCCTGAACTTCTCAGCTTTAGCCTCACAACTGCTCTCTCAGAGTAGCCGTTCCCTCCTGCCTTATGCAGTTAAACCAGGTACCTGCGTGTTTCGCTGTTGAACTTTTTGGTGTTTTGGAATTGTCACTCTGTCATTTAAAATCCGAGTTCCCCCTTCCTGTTCTCTAGTCTCCTTTTTCTAGCCAAGAAAACCTTTGTGTTTGCCTAGATGGTGTTCATTTCTTTTCATCCTGAGCTCCTGGGCGGGCTTGTAGGCTCCCTGTGGTTCCCACACATCTCCCTTTGAGGCCCTTGGCCCTGCCCCGTTCTCTCCGGCCGTGGTGGCGCTCTGTCCATTTAGGTGACCTGGTAAACTGGCCTCCTGCTTACCGGGGCTTTCCACCCTCTCCCCCAATCCCATAAGGGAGAAACAAAGCTAGGTGCTGCCCCATTCCTGATTCTGTCCTTGGGTCAGTACAAGAAGGGTTCTCTGGCTGCACTTTCCATCCAGATGTAAGGTCAGGTGAAGGTAAACTAAGAGAACAGTTCAGGTTTGAATTTCAGCAGAGCAGAGGGTTTGTGGTGAGCGAGTTCCACGTTGTTGGGCAGACTGGAGAGCCGCGTTTAGGTGGAGGAGATGGGAGGTGAGTGTCGGTAGCCTGGATTGCAGGGAACCGGTACAGGTTTTTGATCAGGCGTCGGTAGGGGGAGATGCTCTTGGGGGTATTCAGAGCCCCTTCAGAACATGCGTGGAAAGGAAGTGACTGACGGCTGGCTTGTCTAGTCAGGGACCCTGTCCCCGTACGGCTCAGATGCTTTGATAGAAAACCTGGATGAACGCAGGAGGCAGGCTTACCAGGATCGTACGTTTAACCTGGAGCCTGGAATCAGTGTGCCTGGTGAGTCGATGGAGATTCGGATAGTCTCCACAGACTCCTTGCTGGCCAGAAACCCACGAGGTGAACATCCGCAGGTTCGGCTGTGGGTCTGTGTCTGGTTTGGACAGACGCACAGGTGTGAGGTGAGCGGCGGCTGCCCGGATGGCTGTTGAGGTTCAGAAGAGCCAGGTTGTCATGGGGCAGAGGTCTCCTGGCAGCGGACGGCCTCTTGCTTTTTAAACGATGATTTCTGAGGCATTCAGTCTTACGGCGGGTGAACTAGATCAGTGATAGAGGCCAGTGCTGGAGCCCGTCAAGAACGTGTCTGAACAGACGTGTGTGTTAACAGACGCCCTGCCCACCGGCCAAGACCTAGAGGGCTGGTGGCTGAGTGGGGATGGTGGAACGTGGGAGCGCTGGCTGGGCTCTTCAACTTCTTGAGGGGCAGTTCTCGGGAGGACAAGGCAGACGTGGGCTCTTCCTACAAACAGGTAGGACTGAAACAGAAGTTGCAGTTTTAGCTGAGAGGGACAAGTTGCTGCGAGTGGCTCTCTGTCCTGTGCTCGGGGGCTCGAGCACAGACCGCTCCCTGCTGCCGAGGGTATGGCGGTGCCCTCGTCCACGTCTGAGCTGCTCATCCAGCTTCCGCTCTTTCTCAAGAGGGCGAGCTGGCAGCATAAGCTTAAACTTCCCTTTCTTTTGTAAAATCCAGGATTATACCTGCATTTCTAATATTCTAACAGTAAGTTCTGCCATTTGTGGTTATTCTTCCTTAGCCTTTTAGGTAGCAGCCGTTTACCCACTAGGATAAAAACCTGTACTGTTTACGTAATGTTCTGTGTGATAGTATTAACTGTTTTATTGCACGTATGAGGATCACGTGGTCTTTTTCTGTTGCATATGAAATAATGCCTAATACTGAAAATTTCTGCCTTTTTAAATATTGTTCCTGATTTTTTAAAATTTTACTTTCTAAGGGAAATATCAGTCGTCAAGAAGCCGTGAGCATGATCCCACCACTGTTACTCAATGCTCACCCTCACCATAAGGTACTGTATATTAAACAGAAAATGGCTTTGTTTGTTGACACGTTTTTTTCTTAATATAATTCTTGGGTTTGCTTTTTTTTTTTATGCTTTTGATGGAGAATGCTGTGTTTTATTTTAGGTTCTTTTTTGCATTTTTGTCTTATTTAAATTTTACAACCCATGACTGTGTTTTTACTCTTTTAAAGTTTGCTCACTAATGTGTTTACTGCACAGATTATCGTCATCGGTCTTGACTGACTCAGTCAGATTGAAAATCGTGATGAACACGTCCTGAGAACTTGTTACATGCCAAGCATTGCTTTGTGCTCTTCTCATACATTAATTCATTTGGTTATCCACACATCCCCGTGAGGGTAGATGCTGTCCCTGTCCCTGTTTTTCCACATGAGGGAAAGGAGGCAAAGAAAAATAGAAGCAACTAGCTCAGGGTTTGGGGGCCAGCAAGTGGCTGGGCTATTTGAGGCCTGGGAGTTCTGTCCCTTACAGTGCTGCTTGCAGTTACTGTCCTTGCTCGTCCTCCCCTGAATTGAGTGCCTCCCCTGGTCTGTAGGGTCGTTCTGTTCTTGTGGAGAGAGTATCTTTCTCCTGAGATCCCTGGATGTTAAATATATCACGTTGTAGATTCCTTCTGTAAAGAAATGTATTTAAGTCTTAGAAATCAAAATATTAGGATGACTCATAAAATTGTTTTAAATTAAGTGTCGAATGTTTGAATTCTTAAAATAAAACCTCAAACATTTCTTGCTTTTTAATAGATCTTAGATATGTGTGCAGCGCCTGGATCAAAGACCACACAGTTAATTGAAATGTTACATGCTGACATGAATGTCCCTTTCCCAGGTATGCATTAGACTGCTCTGTGGAGGGTCGGAATGCCACTTGGCTGGGTGTAGATGAGGAAGAGATGGTAACACTGCTTGTGGGTTGGGTCTTTAAGTCTTCTGTGACAAGCAGATGGGTTTCTGTCCCTGAAAGTAGAACTGGACATTTCGCGTGCCACTGTGACTGGTTCCCAAACCAACGTGTTTGTACATCGGGGTGGGAGGGTGGCTTCATTCTAGAATTACGTGTGTCTTCTGTGAAAGTAAATGGTGTTTCTATATTAAGCCATAGTAGGTCGATTTCAGTTTGGATCTTCAGTAGTATCATGGGTTTTTGTGTTGGTCGGTTTTGTGGTGTCTCACTGCCCATGGGAGTGGCAGTAGAGTGTCGTGAAGAGCTGCTGTCAGGCCCGCCAGCTTCACATCCCCGTGCGGTAGGCGACAGTGCTGGACGTTGCATCCTGGACCTGGGGGTGTTCCGAGCTTGCAGAGGACTCAGAGCATGGCTGTGATCCGCTGTCGCTGGTGCTCCTTTCTGGGGGTTCTCTGAAGACACCTGTCTGTGGTGGTGTTACTCTTCAAATGTTTTATCTGCTTCTATTTCCCTTTCTTTTGTTCAAGCCACCTGCTCTCCTTCTGTTCTAATGGGCATGCTTGTTTAGCTTTGTTTGTTCTAAGTGGTTTTTTTCTGACAAATAACTTTGTTTAAAAGGCTTCTTTATTCTTTTGTTTTTAATTATTTTTTCCAAATTAGTGGTAAAGAGCCTCTTTATTATCAGTGTTTTGCATTTCATATTTTCTTAAGAGCGATCTTGACTATAAAATGTTTTTAGGCGTATGTGCCTTTTTGCCGGTGGTGGAACCAGAAATGAGAAGAGGCTGCACCCGGGTTTTAGCCAGGGGGTCAGACCAGAATCGCCCAGGCAGCCTTCAGGAGGAGCCTGGGCCCCACCCCAGAAACCTCATTCACGGGGTCGAGAATGGAGGCCCAGCATACATGTGCAGTATTTTAAACACTTGTCAGGGGATTCTGTTGTCTCCTACCCCTTTCTCTCTCCGCTCTCTTTGTTTTAATTGTTACTAAAAGTAATAGAAAAGATGTTTCTGGCATAATAATTGTTACAAAGTGAGTAATTGTTGAATAGTTGAAAAAATAGATCTTGCAGTTTTAGAATTTTATGTGATCATAAAAATCTATGCTGAGCCATCTTTTTGGACTACTTAGCTTATTCTGGCAAATCTTATGCTTGGGTCTTAAAGTTTGGTGGATTGCTGGTTCTTGAAGTCTGCCAACCAGGAGCATATGTATTTCAGAAAATTATTCTACTTATGTTGCATTTCACCTGACGCTATAACTTTATGTTCTCAGAGGGGTTCGTCATCGCGAATGATGTGGACAACAAGCGTTGCTATCTGCTCGTTCATCAGGCCAAAAGGCTGAGCAGCCCCTGCATCATGGTGGTCAACCACGATGCGTCCAGCATACCTAGACTCAAAATAGATGTGAATGGGAGGAAAGAGATTCTCTTCTACGATCGCATCTTATGTGACGTCCCTTGCAGGTATTTATGTTATTAAGAAACCAAAAAGCCTAAAATCCACTAAGGAAATCAAATTAAATATAGACTGATGTGAATTTGCACACAAATACACACAGAGTTGTACACGTTCTCGTGGCAGCTGGTATGAAGACACAGACCCTGTGACCCTAAATTAGATGACAGACACTCAGAATTTCAGTGCCACCCAGCACAGCAGAACGAGGGTACGGAAGGAAGAGACACAAGATGGAACGGTTCTGTAGTCCTCACAGGGGCAGAGGAGATCCCTGAGGGGGTAGTAGCATCATAAGCTCTGTTGTCAATCCAGGAAATGATCGTTAGGAATGATGGTTCCTCCCTTTCCTGATTCTGCCTCATTCTGGAGGGATACGGAATCACACTGGGTTTTCTTGAAAAGTCTTCTGTTACTCAGCACGCTGCGATTTAGGAGTTCAGACCTTTGAGAAACTCACTGTGCCTGTATTTGTACACATATATTTCTTCAAATTTTATGTGTAAGTATTAGATTGTTAGCGTTTACCTGTAAGAGAATTTTATGGATAATTTTATGAGTCGAGCTATATCCAATGGGCTGTCCCACACAGAGCAGGGGAAGGGCAGCTGCATGGGTGAGTTTTTATGGAATAACTGAGTTTTTCCAGAAAGAAAAGGAGAAAACTAAAGATCTGTCTTAAGTTCCCAGAGGCAGTGACGTAGGCCATGGTCACCTTGTGAGCACACGAATTTGTCGAGCTGGGAGTGCAGAAATCACCACAAAACTCTGTTAGCATGGAATGTGGTGCTTCCATAAGACGCCCGCTACCACATTCCATCGCGTTTAAACCACAGCAGACTGCCTGCTTGTGACAGAACTCATTGTGAGAGCTGCAAGTCGGTAGTATGGATAGGATGGCACTTCAAAATTCTTGCAAGAACGCCTTGTGAAATAAAACTTAAAATGGGTCATGAGCCACAGCTGTCTGATTTTCCTTTAGCTCAGATGTTTTCCCGTTCCTGTGCTCTTTTGACCAGAAACCTGTAACTCACTTCTTGTGTCATCTTGGAGAATGCAGGGACCCTCTGAGCACCACGTTGTAAGCTGAGGAAATCCTAAATATTATGGTAGAATTTTAAGCCACCACTGTACCAGCAAGTGGTGGTTTGAAAGCCATTATATCTGATAGGGCATTTTCATTCTCCTGTAGACCCTTCCCCTCAAGACAGTTAACTAGACCACCGAGGGAGATTAAACTCTACAGAAAGCCAGCTGATCCAGAAAAAAATGGATAGTTAAAGTCAGATGTGGACAGAAAGATAAATTGATCAAGTCTGTATTATAAAATTTACATGGAAATAATTTCCATTAAGTAGAAGTAGAAAATCAAAAATGTTTAACTGATGCATAGAAAAATCTTCATAAAGAAGTTAAATTGGCTTAATTGAATTTGCTGTGGAAAATCCCTTATGAGTATAAGTTTACCATTACTCACGTAAATCTGATTAAAATGCCACTATTGATTAACCGAGTTGTTAAGTAGCAGGATCCAAATGTCTTCACAGTTCTGTGTCTTAGGTCTGAAAATTAGTTTTGCTAGGATTTCTCTCAAATGGAAGCAAATTGATACATCTATAAGTCTTGAATGAGGTTATCTGTTCAATTCTGTTATTTCCTCATCTAATTGAAAATTAAAGTATAATTTAAAAGTTTTAATGTCGTTAGTGTCCCTAGAGCAGAAATAGAAAGTTGATGGTAGTTTGTGAGAATTTAGATGGTGTTCTAATTGGTGTGTATAATAATAAAAATACCCATTTTGTAATTAGCTTGGATATGACATAATGGTTAAACTCTAATCCGTCTACCTGGTCAGAGTTTTTAAGTTCTTAAATATCTTCCTTTCTAGTGGAGATGGCACTATGAGAAAAAACATTGATGTCTGGAAGAAGTGGACGACCTTAAATAGCTTGCAGCTGCATGGGTGAGTCAGGCTGTATCCGGTGGGCTGTCCCACACAGAGCAGGGGAGGGCTATCGCTGCATTTGGGGACAGCATCTGGAGCTGGACTTGTTAATGGTCACTGTTGAGAGAGTTTGGGTCCGTATCAGAAGTAGTTGTTTTCAGAATCTCTTCAGAGTAGTAAACTGAAGACTGTATGTATACATTTCAGGTACACATTTATCAAAAGTGCCTTTTATGACAATTTCCTGTAACATTTCAAGACCTGTTTCCCGTGAAATGACCACTTACCTTTTACTGTCTCACTCGTCTTCGTTCTGTTTTCTGGTCTTTTGTGTTGAATTATTTTAACATTTTGATCTCAAATACTTACTGTCTTTAAAGACAATTTGGAAAATTCTTAAAAATAGAAGAAAGAGAAGATCTCGTAACTCAAAGATAACTTCTGTAATGTCTGGTGCGCTGTACTGTTTTTCTGTGCATACCAGTCTTGAGTGTATGGTCTTCAGGGCTATGGATTCTTTTTTTCATTTAACATTAGAATTCTGCATTCTTAATTATAGAATTGTGGGTAGTCTACAGTGTACTAATGAATATTCACTGTAAATAACTCCAGCAGGAGATTTTGTTTCTCTGTTAAATACTTTTTAACTGTTTTCTTGTGAAATAGATACTAGGATTAGAATGTACAAAGGGACATAAGTTGTTCATAGAAAGAAAAGTTAAATGTATGTACAGATATGGAGGCTTTTTAATGATGAGACTCACATAATATATTGACTTCAGTCACTAATCAGCTTTGTGCTTTGCTTTTCGGAAGGGCTAACAGAATAGTAAATGCATTGTTTATATAGAGAGATGCTTTTTTGATTGATATGAAACACCTCATGGGTTTACTGTAACTTTGTTTAGAATCTTAAAGAGTTCTTTTTGTGGGAATTGTTTATTTTGTGTTTTATTATAAGTCTGTCATAAAAACGTGTAATAAATATGTGGTATAATGGGTGCTGTGTGTGCTGCATGGATAGGTTTGGTCTCAGGGTGACCTAGTATCCAACCCTTAGCTTACAGCTGCGGATCGCAACACGCGGTGCTGAGCAGCTGGTGGAAGGCGGTAGGATGGTGTATTCTACGTGTTCACTAAACCCCGTTGAAGATGAAGCAGTCATAGCATCTTTGCTGGAAAAAAGTGAAGGTAAGTGTGCGGGACAAAAGATTGAAAATCTTTGTATGAGATTTTCAAAAACGTTGTTGATTGCCATAGTATATATTCACATAGACCTTTTCAGGCATTTGCTAGTATGATTAGCCTATAAACGCTGAAGCAAGCTACCCTTACTTACAAACATGCTTATGTAATGATTTTGTCATATTTAATGAATTATGACGATTACCTATTTGGTATCTCTTAAGTTTGAAAAATTATGCCAGTCCTTATCACAGTCGTTTTTTTGAAAAAATCTTAGTTGTGGAAAACACTTGTAAATGGAAGTTTACTGTCGTTTTAACTATTTTTAAATGTGTGTTTTGATAGTGTTAAGAACGCTCATGTTGTTCTGTAGCCAATCTCTAGAGCTCCTTATCTTGCAAAGCTGAAATTATGGACCCATTACACAACTCCCCATTTTCCCACCCCATCATCCTCTTTGCTGTCTCTGAGTTTGATCACTCTAGGGATCTCACGGGGGGAATCAGATCGTACTTGTCTTTTTGTGGACTGGCTTATTCCACTTAGCACACTGTCCTCAAGGTTCCTCCGTGTTGTAGCCGGTGTCTGGATCTCCTTCCTTCAGCCCTGAAGGCTCAGGATGCCCCACTGTGTGCATGCGCTACATTCTGTCTCCCCATCGTCTGTCCGGGGACACTTGAGGTGCTCGCTGTTTCAGTCCTTATGGCGGGTGCTGAGATGACATGGCTGCACACGTAGCTCTTTAGGATGCTGCTTTCAGGTTTTGGGGTGTATATTGTGTGGAATTGCTGGATGATACGATTCTGTTTCATTTTTGGGGCTCCCCCATGCTGTTTTCCACAGCAGCTGCACCGTTTTACATTCGCACCGACAGAGCACAAGGGTTCCCACTTCTCCACAGCCTTGCCGGCTTGGCTCTTGTTACTTTCTGCTTTCTTGATTGTAGCCATTCTAACGGGCGGGAGGTCTTAGCACACCGTTCTATACGAGAAACCGGACAGGTGGTATGAAATGTTTTTAAACGATAGTTTCCATAATGGTTTGATGTAAAATATCTCTTCTTAAAGTTTTTACCGGTATGGTAATTTTTCCCATCATAGTCTCCTTAAAGCCAATAATGAGGGATTTCAGACCAGGATTCCAGAATGGAATGTTTCCACATTTGCTACACACGTGTTGGAAGGAAGTTGGAACATACATACCGAGACAAGTACCCACAGCTGTCTCGGCTTCCAGTTACCTTGTTTGCAGTGGCTGACTGACCTGTAGTTTGCCCTCTAGTTGTTCTCGCCTTCGGAGTCCTTGAGATTGGAACTTAGCATGTTGTGATTTTGTTTGGCTCTGCTTAAGTCGGGCTGTGTAAGGCTGTGATTTCTGAATGGTGTTCTTTGTAGGGTCGTAGTCTCCACGTTTGTGGTGGGACTTCATTTCAAAGGCTTATGAAGAGAAGGACTGATGACATTGAGTGGTGACTGTAACCGCAGGTGTCCTTTGCTGCGTCATTTTTTCTTACTGGGCAGGCGGGGTTCCACTCTGGGTTTGCTGCGACAGCCATCTTTCTGCATGTGGTGGTTTCAGACCGCAGTGTAGTCTCCGTCTCCCTTGTCTGTCAGGCGTCGTGTGTAGGCATGGCTTCATGGAAGAGTGGTTCTTTGCTGAGCCTTGCACTTGACAGTGACTGAGGATTTGGGAGGAGTGAAGTCCCCACCCGAAGGAGCTCAGACCTGGCTGCAGGCAGAGCGGCTGATAAGCATTCAGTCTGCACACACTGGACCATCGTCGGCTCTCCTGACCCCCACGGTGGCAGGGGTCACTGTTGAGCCCTGCCTGGGCAGGGTGTGCGGGACAAAGCTAATTTCTGCAAACCTGCTCTGTTATTTAGTGTTTGCTTTTAGAAGTAAGAATATTCAGATAGAATAGTACAAGTCAGCACAGTGTTTTCGTCAGAGATTTCTTACGAGGACACCTCTGCCTTGAGGACTCTTTTGTTTTATTTTTATAATCGTCTGAGCGTTTCATAGCTTCTGTGGAGCTTTGTTGGACTTTCCTCTTCTGTGAGGCTGCGCAGTCTGTATCCGTGATGTGTGGCTGGAGGTATGTTTGAGAGGGTTCCCATCGAGGCCCCATCTTATAGCTTCTTACGAGCTTGTTACTGTGCACACCTGTTTTTAAAGCTGGGCTGTTGCCCTGCTGCACAAGTTTCGAAAACTAACTTGGGCCTGGAACAGAATGTTTACAAATTTTCACGGTTCACTTTAAATGTTACTTTTTGGTTCTGGGTTGTTTACTAGAGTAAAGGCATGAAGACCCACGTCCTCTAGCTGGCGTGTGTCTAGAAGCCAGAAGTGGGTCGAATGCTCGGAGTCCTAGCCTCGTGGTGTGATTGCAGGGGGCTGCCACGGGGCTCACGTCGGGCACTCCGTGGGACTCTGCACCTGCTGCGTGTCTCCGCAGCTTCGTTGGCAGTAACTCACGTGCCACCAGTGTCCCTCATTTCAAGGGTACGACTAGTGACCTTCAGTGGGTGTCTGTGCACAGCCATCCCCACCGGCCAGGCTTCGGCCGGTTCTGACCCCCCACGGAGTGCTCTGAGGGCCTGTGTGCGCTCCCTGCCTGTGCCGCCCCCGCCCCCGGAGCCGAGGCGCTGCTTTCCGTCCCCGTGGAATTGCTCTCCCTGGACATTTCGTAGAAATAAAACCACACGGAATGTGATCTTTCGCATCTGTTTTTTTTCACGGGGCATAATATGGAAAATTACTGTTATTATTATTATTATTTTTGTATGTAGGTGCTTTGGAGCTTGCTGATGTCTCTTCTGAGTTGCCAGGACTAAAGTGGATGCCTGGAATTACACACTGGAAGGTAATCTTTCTGGGAGGACTCTGGCTCCTAAGAGCAGGTACAACTTGCCAGGCTTGTCAGAGTCGTGAACGTTTTAAATTAAAGCAGCCACATTTGGGTAACGTCAGTAAATATTACTTTTGGTTGTGCAGTCAGCTTTGGTTTAGAGTTAATTTTCAAATTCTGTTGAATGACAAATGGTACAATTCTACAAATATTTTTCTCTGGCAATGGGGAAGTTTCCCTGCCTTTATCCTGCACTTAGAAATCAGCGTTGTGTATTCTCATCCCCGTAAGTGTAGCTCTGCTGTATTTTTATTACTGGCTGGGATTCAAGCTTCGTTTCCAATATGAAACCATTTACTTTTCAGTTTTAGACCAGAAACTACCTGAGGGTTGTTAAAAAACAAAACAAAACAAAATAAAAAAAACCTACATGGAAAGTGCTCTTTTACAAAATGATTGTTCTGTTTGATGGAATACAAGATCGTCTCATTTTTCTCTTCCCACTGAGTCTCAGCTTTGGAGAGCGATGAGAGTTGCCGTTTATCATGTTTGAGCGCATTTACATTAGCACCCTGCGATTTTCGTATTATTAGGTAGTGCTGTGATTTGGAGTCCTGCCGTCTCTCTCCTTTTGCAGGTAATGACGAAAGACGGACAGTGGTTTACGGAGTGGGAAGATGTTCCTCACAGCAGACATACCCAGATCCGGCCCACTATGTTCCCACCAAAGGACCCCGAGAAGTTACAGGCGATGCATCTAGAGCGTTGGTGAGTTTGTAAGGCTTGCAGAGGTTTGGGAAGGTGGGGAGTTGGGGCCCTCCGGCATTCCCGCGAGGCCTGGGCCATGCGTGTGGTTGACTCAGGGTGTGAACGTGCCAGCAAGAAAGAAGCTTGCATTTCCTGTTAGCTGTTGGCATTGAGCCTCCCTAAGTATAGCCAGCGGTGAGGGCCCAAACGCTCGAACTTCGCATACTACCTCAAGTGTGTACGCAGCCCACGCGGCCGTCCCATGAGTGCGGGTTGCGGGAATACTGACCAGAAGACACGACTTTTCTGTCACAGGTCATCTTTGCAGTTTTTGTCTTAATACTAAAAGAATATATTTTGAATCAGTTAAAAAGTGTGCATTGTGGGGTTTTTTTTTTTTTTTTTTTCCAGTCTTAGGATATTACCACATCATCAAAATACTGGAGGGTTCTTTGTGGCAGTATTAGTGAAAAAGTTTTCAATGCCCTGGAATAAACGTCCACCAAAGGTAAGCATGTGGCATATCATGTAAGCTTTCTGTGCATTCCGGGCAGACACTGACGGTGGTCAGTGGAACAGTTTTTGGGTGTGGAGAGCAGCTGAGCATGAGCATGTGTGTGGTGGGGGTAGGGATTCATTTAAATTTTGAGTTTTCCAAGAAAGCAGCAATGTCTTAAAGGATAGATCCATGAAAAAGGCATACTTGGGGGATTACATTCCTTCTGCATCTTAAATTCAGTTATTTAATAAAAATTGAAAGACATAATGACTGCTCTGTGGCTCAGAGTTAGAGCCCCCCAAGCTGGCTTCTGTGCTCTGGTCCCTGGGGGTTGGTTCAGTTGAGCCCATTGCAGATGACAGAACTCTGCCAGCCTCAGGCCAGCCTGTCTTCCCGTGGGGGACAGTGACAGAGACTTTGTCCAGGCCTGGCTGAAAAGGAGACAGAGAAGGCCCGAGCCATCCTAATGGGTTGTTGTAGGAGGCCCTGAAGCAGGGAGGGTGAGTAGGAGGGCAGCCTTTCAAGTCTTTCCATGTAACGTCTGCTGCCCTCCTCTTTTATCAACATGACATTTATCTCGCTAGTTTATGCCTCAGCCTTTCCGTAATGTCAGAACATGGCTGGGGTCACAGTCTGAAAGTCAGTATTTCTTCCAGATGAACGCTTACAAAGGAGGACAAGAATGCTTAGGCTTTGCAGAGGCAGAAAGGAGAGTGGTCCTGGGGTATGGCTAACCCGCATGAACGTTTGCGTGTCCGGCCCCACCGCTGGCCCAGGAGTGGAACCGGCATGTCCGGGCAGGCGCTGTGCTGGTTGTGGGAGGTTGGAGAGTGTCTGGACTCTCCTTGGCCCTGGACTCCTGGGTCAGGAACTCCGAGCAGCGCTGTCATCGACATGGAGTGCCAGCTACATGTGTACCTTCCACGGTCTTGCAGCCACTTTTTTAAAAGTGCACACAGGGGCACCTGGGTGACTCAGTTGGTCTGCCTTCGGCTCAGGTCATGATCTTGGGGTCCTGGGGTCGAGCCCCATGTTGGGCTCCCTGCTCAGTGGGGAGTCTGCTTCTCCCTGTCCCCATCGCTCCTGCACGCTCGTGCTATCTCAGATAAATAAATCTTTAAAAAATAAAGATAACTAAAAGTGCAAGGAAAAAAGCAAAATTTTAGTATTTTATTCATTCCGGTATACTTAAAATTTTCTTTTGTTGTATCATATAAGAAGTTCTTAGTGAGTTATTTTCCGTGCTTTCATACTGAGTTTTTAAAGCCGTGTGAATTTACAGTCTGAGCTTCCTCATCCTTGCGCTGGTCACGGGGCGGCTCAGGCAGATTGCTTGTCTTCAGGACGCCCCGATGTGGAAGTGAGGGGACCTGTAAGCACAGAGCTGGCATTCCAGCCGGGGAGGCCGAGCTGCTGGTGTTCGACAGAGAGAGCGCAGAAGCAGCCTGGTGGGGAAGGGGCCCTGGAGCCGGGCTGGGAGGGGCGAGGATCAGCATTTCCAGGAGCTGGAGGGGCAGGGCCCAGGCCATCGCCACTGGGGCACGGTGTGTGGGTGACCGTTTTGTCTCTGTTGTCTTTTACCTTTAAGTAAAAGCTCTTTTCTGGGAGGTGGTGTTGCATTGCATGGAGTCCCAGCAGCTCGTCTGCTTTAGAGCTTTGTCAACTTGGGGAGTGGGTTCCACTTTTCTGAGGCCACGTGTCTTCTAATTTCATCAACCCTGTGACTTGTTAGGACGTGTCGTTTTAAATAACTTTTTATATAGTATTTTGTTTAAAATGCTTATTGAGCAGTTTCCGTAAGTGAACCGTTGTGCTCATTTTTTAAGCCAGATACTGTGGCCCCAGTTCCGAAGTTTGTTCGTTGTTCTACAGTTGCTTCTGCGCTCCGTGGGGTGCCCTGGGCCTGCATCCGGGCACCGTGTGTCCGGGGCGGTGGCACTGGCCTTCCCAGGCTGCACTTACTGACATGTGTGTCCTGGCCCTGTCTGCTGCTGCGGGATCGTGTTTGGCCCGTTTTCATCCTTGAGCGTGCCTGGCACACGGCAGGTGCCCAGTAGCGTCTCTGAATGCGGATGTGCTGCCTGCGTCTTCGGCCTGTACTGGGAAATAGCCTGCACGTGCTCTTTGTGGGATTAGGGGGGAAACCGTGCCCACGACTTCTGTGTATAATAGCAAATAGACTGAAGATACTTCTAAAACACTCTGTTGCCTCTGTATGTGAAATGCCTTAGAGATATACGATGGGTTTTGTGTCGTGAGTGTTCATTTTTTTGTGGCAGTGTAAAGTGGGTTGCCTTGGAGTGTAGATGCACTTGTCCCCTGTTGAAGCTGCAGGGCGAGCCGGTGGAGCCCAGAGAGCCTGTGCGGTCCAGCCCTGCACACCCCACGGAAGGAGCAGCTGCGGACCCCGCTGAGCTGGAGAGTAAACCCATCAGTGGGATGGACGACACAGACATAACGGAAAGACCCGAGAACGTAGAGAACAGCGGAAGTAAGAAGGACGGAGTGTGTGGGTAAGAGAAGGGGTCCTGTCTGCACCCTCGTGTCTTCCAACCCCTTAGCTTGCAGGGGCGCGGGGCCGTCCTGCAGCAGGTGGGTGCCACTGTGTGTGGCCGGGGGTCGCGTGCATGCGGAGAGCCCGGGGCCACGCAGGGTTGAGGAGGAGGGCCAGCAGGCAGGGGGAGTGCACTGCTGGCCTGTCACCTTAGGACTGATTACAGTGCATGTTTCTTGTCCCGATTCCCTCCTCAGTCCTCCTCCATCTAAGAAAATGAAGTTGTTTGGATTTAAAGAAGATCCGTTTGTGTTTATTCCTGAAGATGATCCATTATTTCCACCTATCCAGTAAGGATTAATTGAACCTACTAAATTCTTGTTATAACTGTGTAACTGGTCACATTTGGCCATATATTTTTATTTAGTTCAGTATAACACCTTTTTTTCCTCGTCACGGCTTGGTAGAGTTGGGTGACACTTCAGAGAGTGTACGGTGAGCTGCCAGAGACTGTAAAGTGGCTGGGATGGGGGCGGGGGGGGCGGGGGGACTGGACTGCGGCCCTGAATGTCAGTCCCCCGGCGGAGCTTCCAGACCCGTGGCCGCCTGCCCAGGTCCTGTGTGGGACGTGGAGACTGGGTCTGGGTGGGAGCTTGGGGACCCCAGCTGGAAACTTCTGGGTGGAACAGAGGGGAAAGGTGCTTAGGATAACGGGCTCCGGTTCATCTCTTCTGCTTAGTTAAGTCTCAGTATCCAGTCACCGCGGTGAGCGCTTGTGCTGCCCTGTGGCTCGTGACCTTTTTCTGTGGGCATCGGTGTTGCCAGGTCCCTGGAGCAGCAGCGGGAGAGGGAAAGTGTGCTTGTCAGTGAAGGTCCCTGCTCTAGTTTGCGGTGACCTCCATCAAGTGTGGATGTTGGGCGAGCGCGGCAGGGCGCGAGTGCCCTGAGCCGCAGATGAGAACCCGAGCTCCGCTGGGAGAGAGACCGTGCTGGAGGCACCTGTCGCGTTTGAACCAAACTCGTAAGCAGCTCTGTCTCGTTCGTAGGAAGTTTTATGCGTTGGATCCTTCGTTCCCGAAGATGAATTTGTTGACTAGGACTACGGAAGGGAAGAAAAGGCAGCTCTACATGGTCTCCAAGGAGCTGAGGAATGTGCTGGTGAACAACAGCGAGCGGATGAAGGTGCACGCACTAGGGGGCCTCTGCTCTAGCTGGGGTGGAGGTGGGCTCGGGCGACGGCTTTCCCGGTGTCATGTCTGCTGTGCTGATCGGTAGTCCACAGCAGCCACACTAGACCAGCCTCCTCTGAGGGCATCAGTGAGGCTATGAGAACCCCGACTTAGTCAGACTTGTAAGCTCTTCCTTTTCTTCTTCCCTTCCCTACTCGCAGCTCTGCCTCCTTGGGGCACAAGGGGTTATTTTCATTGAATATTCAGCTTTTATTTATATGTGTGTGTCATCTCACTGTCTCACTTGCAGGTTATAAACACTGGAATAAAAGTGTGGTGTCGGAATAACAGTGGTGAAGAGTTTGATTGTGCTTTCCGGTTGGCACAGGAGGTACTTTGGGGCATAGACTTAGTAGCAGCCGGTGGTCAGCCCACGGGCGTGGGTGCCGCGCGGGGAGGTGGGGGCTGGGGACACGTGTGGAAAGGCCTCGGGGACAGCGGGTGATTGTCCTCATTCATGATGGTGGCCTCTCTTTACTCCCACAGGGAATATACACGCTGTATCCGTTTATTAATTCAAGAATTATCACTGTATCAATAGAAGATGTTAAAATTTTATTAACCCAGGAAAATCCATTTTTTAGAAAACTTAGCAGTGAGACCTACAGCCAAGCCAAGGACTTGGGTAAGCCGTTGGACTTGCATTGAGGCGTGACTTGTCCTCGTAAAGACAACGAAGACGTGGGTGTGCAAGCTTGTTAGAGCTTTCTCAGTCTTAGATTTTAGTACGTCGTGCCTTGCTCTCTACTGCTTCTCGTCAGCTCCAGAGGGCTTTGTGGGGACAGAGGCACATCTCAGCGTACCCAGGGCCAGAGGCACCCCTCAGGTTGCCCTGCTTCCCCCAGCCACGTGGAGGCCTGTGCCGCCCACCAGCCCACAGGTGTCTGCATGTGTTGGGCCCTGGCCGTCCCGCGAGCCAGAGCCCTGAGTGCCCGCGGCCTAGCAGGGCCCCGCGGGGACGCAGGGCACAGTGCTCGGGCTTGTGTGCGTCCCGTCCTGAGTCGCAGGATGCTAACCAGCACAGACTACCGCGTTTGCTTGGCATCCCATCAGCCAGGTTAGAGCAGGCTGCAGGTGTTGCCAGGTTCTCCCGCGGCTTGGCCGGCCCCGCAAAGGAGATGCTCGCTCACGGCGTTTTCACGTTTTATAAACTTACACTTCAGAATTATTCTAGTGATATTTTCATCTAAGAACAAAAATAATTCCACCAAGAATTCTAATTTTTTCTTTTCATTCTTGTTGATTTTTTATAACTTTGTTCACTGTTTCTGGCTCAGCTGGCCCAAAAGCTGCTCAAATCAAGTTACTGCAGTTCTGTGGTTGTATGTTTTATGTCCGAAACTGAAAGATACAAAACATGCTGTGTGGAATCTGTCTCCTGGTGTCTCAGGCAGGAGCTGCATCTAAAGTAGAGATTATTTTAAAGGATAAAGGGACCATTTGCACTTGTTTTCTTCTTTGTCTTAATCTCATAGTTAGATGGTTGGGGTATAATTTTTGACATTTTTTATGTGTGTTTCATGCTGTTTCTGGAAGTTGGAGCAATTATTTGTTTAATCTTGAATTTTGAGAATTAACCAGTAGTTAACTGCGGGCTCCCTGCTGCTGAGAGAGACTTTCTGAGTATTTTCACCTAAACCCTACTGGTCTGATGCAGTCCCCTGCCACATTGCCTGGTCTGCTTGGTGCTCGGCTTGCTAGTGGCTCTATGTTTTTAGAAAGAAGGTCCTCTTTTCTCCATGGAGATCCTGAGGACCAAGAGTGCGGATTGTTTGCTGCCCTCTCTCCGCAATGCTGGACACACAAACAGCTTCGCCAACACATGTCTGTTTCTCTTCCAGCCAAGGGGAGCATCGTCCTGAAGTACGAGCCAGACCCTACGTAAGTGTGGGTGCTCCCGCCAGTGGGGGGACTGTAGATGGTCGTGGGAGCCTCTGATGAGCATTCTCTTGAAGATAGTGTTGTAGAAATTTTAGAACAAATATTATTATGTACATGATTAGACATATATAATTATGTATTATATATTAATATATATGTCATATATATCTAATTATATATCATCGCTAGAATACTCTCTTACAGAACATTCAGCTCAGGCCAAAATTTTCATTTAGAGAATAAAACGTGCAGTACTGCTTCTCTGTGCCTGAGAAATCTAGTTCTGATTTTTGTCTTAAACAGAATGAAGTAAAGGTTGAAAGTCGAGAGAGAGTCTTTCCGTCTCTACCGTGGGTTCACCCCGGGTCTATGGGTTCCGTGTTTCGCACGCGTCAGGCGGCAGGGTTCTAAGGCAGGGGTGAGGGTTTGCTCCTGCGTGACCGCTGTCCTGTGGTGCTCACAAGTACCCACGCAGCCCTCAGGAGTCTGCGGAGAGTAGGCCCTGAGGGTCAGCGCTGGCCAGAGCGGCTGAAGAGCTGGGGAGCTGGTCGGGATTTGTACCCAGGTCTGGTTTCACGTGTCGCAGCCACCTCTTTCTAAAGTAAAATACCACTTCCAAGGGGAGGAAAGAAAACAGCACAGGGCTGGAGAGGGATTTGGGGGAGAGCTTAGGTGGAGCCGCGGACAGTTCTCTGGGAGGTGGTATTTGGCCAGACTCTGGTGAGAAGGAAGTGGAGAAGCACCAGCCCTGAGGAAGGAATGAGCTAGAAGGCAGCCTGCGTGGGGCTGGCAGAGGAGGACAGGCCCGAGCCCCCCTGCGTGGTCTCCACCGCCTCCATCTGCCGTGAAGACGGTAGCCTGGGCGTGGGCCTGAGTGTGCGGGTGGGAGGCAGGGGTGCAGGGCAAGAGGGGGGCAGCTGGGGCTGGGGCAGGGGCCTGGGCCCAAGGGTTGGCAAGAGCGGTGCACGTGGGGTCCGGCGGGGCTGCGTATAGGACGTCGCGCACACGAGGTGGGCTGTGGGTGGCGAGGGTGCAGGAGTGCCCAGGGTCGGCTTCTGGGTTGAGTTACACAGGTGTCATCCAGGAACGGGAAAGCGGGGGGAGAACGGACATACTGAATTTGAAAATGCTGGAATAGACAGCAGGAGACGGCCAGGCCGCTGTATGGAAGTTTTGGGCGTTAAGGGGAGAGGTCATTCCAGGCGTGGATCTTCGGGGCTCACGAGCGTGTTAGTGCTGCGTCAGCCACGGGCTCGATGCCGGAGCTCCGAAGGGCAGTGTAATGGGAACCGGGCTTTGCAGGCGCTCATGCCAGTGTCGGGGTCCAGGTCCGTGAGGTGGGATCAGCTAGGGGGGAGGCGCGAGGCAGGAGAGAGAAGACGCAGGGAGGAGCGGGGGGAGACGGGCAGTGCCCCACGCCGAGCTTCGGCAGCCGGCGCAGACCACGCTTGCCAGGCGTCTGCGGTACGCGACAGCGAGCGGGGATCTGCGGGGCGAGCGGCCGGGTTAGAGAAGGTCTACGTGGGCGACACTTTGGCCGGCTTCTGTGCTCGTGGAAAACCCAAGAAAAGGAAAACAGGCTGTGGGTTTCCGGGAGCAAGGGGCGGTGTCGCAGAAGCGCTTAGACAGGGACCCAGAAATGGGTTTGAAAGGTACGGAAAGGGTGTGCTCTTCCACTCACTCGCTCCAGGTCTGTGAGCCGGCGCGCATGCTGAGGCAGCTGCCGGAGCCCCTAGATCGAAAGACAGCAAGGGGTGGGCGTCGGGGCCTCTTGTCTGTTCCTGTCATCGTGTTTTCTCCGTGTATCGTCCCGACTTTCCCCGGGGAAGTATGGAAAGGTACTGAGGAGTTTCCCTCTCTTTTGTCGTGGTTTATGTCTCTCGGTGGTTCAGCCCCTTCTCTTTTGCTGTGTGTGTTTTTTTTAAATCTGATCAGAATCCTCCTGTGTTAGTTCTTTGGAACCTCTGCCTGCGACCCTGATGCCTGGCATCGCGTAGAGCAGGACGTAGGGTTGATTGAACGGGGCTCTAGGAGCCGAAATACTAGAGCAGAGTCACACCTGAAGGGAAACGATGATTTGCATGGTACTTGGGAAGGGGCACGTGAGTCACACGGTAACTGGCATCTCAGCCAAGGAAAGGGGACTCGAAGCCGCCTGGCGAGCAGGTGGGCACGTCTGTGCGGCAGGATCGAGCAGACTCAGGGAAGCAGGGGTGCTTTGGGCCCCGATAACACTGCATGCTGGAAACGGGCGAGCAGAGTGTTCTGGGGGCCCGTCCTATCATGTGGGTAACCGAGAAGAGTTGGGGTCACCCAGCCCAAAGTAGGGGAAGCACGGAGTGTCGGCAGCAAGGGCGGTCTGGCTCCCAGCGCGGCTCTGCAGACGTGAGGCCTCGCGGGTAGGTCTTCACCTTTGAGAAGATGGAAGTACTGGGAAATTCTAACGTTGGAAGTGTGTGTGAATTCTGGCTGTGGGGGTTATTCCATTAGGAGCTTTTAGAAAGAAAAACTGGCCAACATGAGCATGTTGAGAATATTTAGGACTTGAAGCAGGAGCTGATCTTCCTTGGAGAAAACCATCCGTAAGATCACAGACGAAAATGCTCCAGTGCTTTGGGCATGTTGTTTTCAGAAAGGTTGCCTTTTAATCCTTCAGTGCAGTTAGGAGGACACACGATACTCACACACAACCACTTTTTTTGTAGGAAACCAGACACCCTTCAGTGTCCCATTGTGTTATGTGGATGGCGGGGAAAGGCCTCCATTCGGACTTTTGTGCCCAAGAACGAACGGCTTCATTATCTCAGGATGATGGGACTGGAGGTGTTGGCGGAAAAGAAGAAGGAAGGGACTGTTCTGGCTCAGGAGGGCGCAGGCAGCTCTGGGCCGCCGGAGGACGAGGAGAGTGCGGAGCATGGAGCGGAGCCGGCCGCCGGCGCGGACGCCAGCACGGACACCAGCGCGCACGCCGCCTCGGGTCCCTCGGACCCTGCCCCAGCGGAAGCCGCCCTGCCCCGGTGAGGAGGCCCCGGCACCGTCCGCACGGGCAGCCTGCAGGGGCCTCCGCCTCGGTGTTCAAGGCCAGGCCCGGAACTTCGGACCTGTAAGTACAGGTTTTTGAAGACTGGAGACGGATGGAATCATAGAACAGTCGTGAATGATCTCAGTACTGCTTTCATTTATTTTTTAGCTTTGTTAGAAGTTGCTCATTTTACTGTTTCTTTGGCAAAACTGGGTCGGTTGTGCCTGTGGCCCACGGTAGACTGTCACCATTAGTCTTACTCCTCCCAGGAAACAAAACTGCCCTTGCAGGAATTTTCAGGTCGCCTTTGTTGTGCCTATGTTGGTCTTAGGGTCCGGTGTTTCTTTTAATTATTATTTATAGAAAGAATCTATAACTCATCATGGGTCATTGGAAAACCATCCTGTAAATTTTAATAATTGTATCAAGTTGCGCATTAGCAGTGCGACATTAATGTATGGTGGGTTAACATCTGAGGTCTCAGATGACTTCTGTGCCTTTGTAATAAAAGGTAAAATAATAAACTCTTTTTTTCTCAGAGTACGCAGTCTCGTGATACTAATTGTGAGGGTTTTAGGTCTTTTTATTGAATGGAGTGTTTTGCAAGTCTAGGTTTTAAATGGGGTTGGGATCCTTGGAACATTGAAATAAATTATTAATGATGACGTGTATGTGTGTATGAGTTGTTTTTACTCTCGGTGAGGCAGAAGGAACAAACATTTTTGGGTAAATGGAAACGTTCAGCTTGTGAAAGGAATTTTAATGCGAAGGTTGCTCTCGAGGGAGTAGTTTGACGCAACAGGACGTGAAGCTTTTCCTGTGGGCTCCCCTCTTGTTCCATAGAGGGCAGCGTTCACACCTCCACTGCCAGGAGGGTCGGAGGGGGGCGGTGCGGGCTGGGTTTGTCAAGGTGAGAAGCGTCTGCAGCCCTAGCGGGGCTCCCTCGGGCACTGTTGTTAGGGGACCTGGAGGGGATACTCATGAGGCAGGTGCCGTGGGGCCGCCTTCCTTCATTACTTAGGAAGCCCCTGCTGTGTGTCAGGCAGGGTCCTGGGGCCTGGTGACACGGCTCACCCTCACGGCCAGTCTCAGTGTCGTCAGGAGAGTGTGGCGTGGCGAGCCTGCGTGTCCCTGTCCCCTAACGGGCACAGTGGTTAACAGCTGCGTTTTATCAATACCCCAGCTGAAACACTGGCAGCCCTGGCTCCCTTTAATGGAGCACGGTGGTTGGAAACTGAGGTCTGGAATTAGGTGTGTTCGTTGCTATGAGGTGTCATTTCTCACAGACCAGACAGAACTGGGAATTAAACGTCTCTGTGAACACACACAGCATACATAGAAACACGTGCATGTGAGTTTGTCGTTTAAACGAGTTGCCAGTTGTTTAAAGCCTGTCACAGCAATCCATCTGACTCCAGCCCATGCTCCATCTGTGTGGATCACCCCCCTCTGTATCAGATGGCCCTGATTTTCCCCACTGCATTTACTTATTTCTTCGGCCTTTGCATGTTCTAATCCCCTGCTTTGGCTGGCTCTGGAACACAGATCCAGACTCTCCCGTGCCCAGCTGTTCTGTCAAGGCCACACTTGACCATCCTTCCAGCTGCTTCCCTGGAGACCGTCCCTGATCAGGGCCAGCATGACGTTCAGCACCAACTAAAGGGAAGGGGAATCTGAGTTCTCTTGCAGTTTCTCCTCCAGACCTTCTTTACAATGGAGATCTCTGGCCCTACTTCGTAGAGATTCTGTTGCATGTGGCTGGCATGGACTCTAAACCCTACATCATTCTGCTGTGTGGCCAGGTTGAGGGACCGAGGGACCGTTGGTTTGAATAGCTAGCTCATCTAACAATGTGACACTGTAACGACAAATTATGACCATTGCTGTTTTCTTTGCAGTAAGAGGGCTAACGTTTGTCTAGTTGAGGTGCTTTGCAAACATTCTTAAGTGCCGTTCTAAGCCACAGGCATGGTTAGATTGTCAGGACCAAATGCTGCGTGACAGTCAAGGTTGAAAACCAGCTATGTCCACACTGCCTCCTTTGGACGGAGAGCACCCTTGTGTGTTTGGACAGACCTCTTCCCAGTTTGACACATAAGCAAATGAGGCCTAGGCAGTAACAGCCGTCTGACAGGACGGTGCCTGGCCCCGCAAACGCAGTGTAAGTGATTTGCTTTGTGGAGAAACCACACAATCACTTGCACAGGGAAGACTTAATAGCATCGCTAACTAATGGGGTTGGAACGGTGAGGGGTTGGCTAGTAAAAACAGGATGCCGAGGAATATAGGAATGCCAGGAGGAAGAGCCATTGTGCTCAGCTAACAGCACCTCTCTCCCTGGGGTTTGGTGGGAGGGCTGGATAGCGGAGAAGTTGCTGCCGTTCTGGATCAGCGGAACTTGCTAGAAATCTGCCCCCTAGGCTACTGGGGAAATGCTTTTCAACAGAGGCGTGGGACTAGGAGAGCGGGGTGGTTCTCGGGACGGCGGCCGGCTGCCCTGCACGGCAGAAGCTACGGGCTGTGAGCAGCCCGGGGATGCAGGCACCAGGGCCAAGCAGCCGGAGGCCCGCTTCCTGACGTGTGTGCCCGGGGCTCCTGCAGCCAGAGCGCCCGTGGTGCGAGCTGGCCGGACGCACTTCAGGGGCCCAGACCCGTTGAGAGAGAGGGTAATGGCTGGTGAATATGGAGGCCTGAGACCATCGGTTGATGACTGACCTGTGACTCATTTAATCCAACAACCTCATAGAGGCGGAGGGAGGGCTGTTACCCACCCTGCTTACAGATACGAAAGTCAATAATCCGTCACAGAGTAAGTGACAAAGCCAGGAGCCCAATTTTTAAAAATGTCTTGACCAACCAGAGCAGAGTGGCTCAGTTGCGTCCCCTTCTGTGGACGAGCACAACAGCCACTTCGTCGTGATCTACTTTGAAGATTTTAGCAGCTTTTCAAAATTGCCAGAAATGAATGAAGCTACAGAAGGACAAAGGTCATGTTTAAGTGTGTCTTTTTTTTTCCTTTTTTTTGATTAAATCTGTTTAAAATCTCTAATAAGCTTTTTGTTTTCGTCAGATGTAAACTTGAACTGTTATCAAAGCAGAGACTTAATTAGGGTCCTCCTGGGTTGAGATAGGAATCGAATCTACACCTACAATTCCACTGCCTCCCAAACCCAAGTAACACTACAGTAACAACATTTTAACAAAGACAGGGAAGGGGGTGCAGACACTGCACAGCTCTGGAAGCTTCCGAGCAAACGGAAAGGCCGTCAGAGAAGAGAGCCAAGCCCCGTCCTGCCGTGGGAATGGCTGAGGAGCAGTCCTCGTGCCCCAAAGAATTCTGAAGTCTCAGACCTGGCTGGGTTCACAAAGCAGGTGGTTCTCTCCTGGGGGTGCTGGGCACAGTGGAGGGCAGGGGGGACAGCGGCTGTGTGCACACCTCCCCTCGCCTCCCGGAACGTGTGGGGCAGCCAGACCTTGGTCTCCCGGAGACCGTCGGAGGACGCTTTTCTGGAACCTGCCCAGTTCTAGAGAAAAGACTTAAAGATCGTGGCCTCACTATTGCATCTCTCAAGTTAGAGCCTGTCACATCCCCCTCGGAAAGGACAGGATGCCCCAACACACTGCTTCCCATCCCATATGCCATGTGGCCTCGTGCTAATCGGGAGCAGACCGCCACCAGGATTAGCGACATCTGACAACAGCTGTTGGCATCGAAGACAGGGACCAAAGCAAACAGGGACACGCAGCCAGGAGGAAGCATAGACACAGGTGGCAGAAAAGTTTTCAAAAATCCCTGTTACCGAAAAAGCTAAACAAAGCCTGATGAGACCGCTTACAAACCAAAAAAGAGGGTGCTGCTAACATGAACAATTACACTGAAAGCTTTTCTTCCAGTTTTAATCAACATTTTGGCAAGGGGCTTCTCCAGAAAGAAGACTTCTCCAGAAAGAAGAACCATGGCAGGTCCGGCTGAAGAAGGTTCTCGTCCGTAGACGGACATGCTCGTGTGTGCCTGGGCCACCTCTGGAGTGGACCCGTGGGTCAGGAGACGGTGCTTGTTGCAGGTGGGCTAGAAGGGAGACACATTTTTCACTTAAGACCCTCCGTGCCCTTTGAACGTTGAAACACCTATTGAGACGAATAAAATAAATTTCCTAGAAAGAATGACAAATGCACATCACCTTGACCCAGTACAATGGCAGAAAACCAGAAGGACTCTGGTCCACGCGCGAGGAGCTGTGGTGAGCTAAATGAGCTCCTGGTGGACTAGAACCTAGGGATCACCCAGAAATGGAAGCGAGAAAGGCAAGGTGCAGGGAAGTGTGTTTACCCCACTGCCATCTGTGCAAACAGGGAGAAACACGTACTTTTGGAAGTGCACAAGCTAACTGAGGGAGGGTACAGAGGAGGTTGGCAGTACTGGTTGCCTTGTGGGGAGGGGATCTAGGGGGGCCGAGGCCAAGGTTATGATGGAGAGTTTGAACGCTGGACTCATTCAGAAAATGAATGTAAGTGATACAGGAGTGTGCATGCACATGTGAGTCCAGAGGGCAGAATTCTTGACGGCCGGCCGTGACCTGTGGTTCATGTTTCACATCAGTAAATGCAGTGGGTCACCGACTGCATGACCCTGGGCATGTTTCTTGACCTCACTGGGCCTCCATTTCCTCATCTGTGAAATGGGCATCATGATGGGGTGTGCTGGGAACTGAACTCGTGACTGTGTGGGATGCACTGAGGACAGCGGCTTGCAGCCGGGGTTTCAGGTGGGCACTGGGTTTTTAGGCTGAGGCTTAGAGGAAGCATTCACTGATAATTACGCACACGGTTCTCTCGGGTACTGAATAAAACCTTTTGATCAGGAGAGACAGAGCATGTGGGTGAAGTGTGTAACAGCTTAAGTGGTGGGTTTTGA